AGGGAGCGGCTCCGGGCGCCAGATGAGGGGTGTCCGTAGCCCAGAGGTGGGCTGCGGGCGCTGAGGCTGCACGCGGGCAGGTGGCTGGGTTGGGTTTTTCCCCAAATCCACAAATAGCAGCGTTTTTTCGGTGGCTGCTTTGATTTGGCGTGTCCTTCTTAAAAAGACTGGCTCTGTCGGTTCAGTAGGAGTTTACTTTTGGAATATCTCTTAAGGTCTTTTGCCAGGAGAAGGCCAGTTTGGCTGTGTTGGCGAGTGGTGATGGAGAAATCCAGAGCCGTTGGTCAAACGGATGGTGCACGAGTACTGGAGGGCTGACGTGTGTTAGCCAGCATTTGTAACTATGCAGCGTCAGTTTAGGTACTTTCACATTACTTATTTTAAACAGAAGTTTGATACTGAACTAGAACTCTGACCTTTGCATACTACTTTTTTTAGCTTTGGCTCAGCTTCCCATAGCTGTAGTGGCCATAAATAGTTTACTTTGTTTAGGTGTTTGCCCTAATGCTTCATTTTCTTGCAGAATTTTTCTCTTCTGACCACAAGATCAGGGTAGGAATAGAGTATTTTTGTTTATGTAAATAATTCTCTTTTTTTTTTTGTCTGTTTTGGAAACTGTTTCCTGACAGCTATGAAATTTCTGTTGGTTTTTGATTTTGACCATACAATCGTAGATGAAAATAGTGATACCTGGATTGTGAAATGTGCTCCTGAGAAAAAACTTCCTAATGGATTAAGAAACTCCTACCGACCAGGACAGTGGACAGAATATATGGGCAGAGTCTTTGTCTACTTGGGAGACAATGGCGTCAAAGAAGATGAGATGAAAAGAACGATGACAACAATTCCTTTCACTACAGGAATGGTAGATCTGCTGGGTTTTATTGGCGAGAACAAAGAGCTGTTTGACTGCATAATTGTTTCAGATTCTAATACAGTATTTATTGACTGGATTTTAAAAGCTGCTGACTTCCATAGGGTGTTTGATGAAGTGTTTACAAACCCTGCAGCGTTCAGCAGTACTGGCTATCTTACTGTACAGAACTTCCATGCTCACCATTGTACAAAATGCCCTAAAAACCTTTGCAAAAGGAAAGTTTTAAAAGAATTTCTAGATAAACAGTTGGAGCGGGGAGTAAGTTATACACAAATTGTATATATAGGTGATGGTGGGAATGACTTATGTCCAGTAATGTTTTTAAAGAAGAATGATATTGCTATGCCCAGGCAGGGGTATACCTTGGAGAAAAAGATTTCTCAGCTGGCCCGAGATCTCAGTCCTGTAGAGTGTTCTGTTCTGGTTTGGTCATCTGCTACTGACATTATGTCTTATCTGAAAGTGCTTATAAAGGAATAATTCAAATGATAAAAGGAAGCTAATGTATATTTTATCTTCCTGGGAGACAAAAACTGCATGCGTGTAAAAGCATAAAATTGTAAAATTGGGCTGCTATCTGAACTTATTTTTTTAAAACTCGCCATTAAACCGTTTATGTTCAATCTTGGCAGTAGTGGGACAATGAAGTTAAAATGGCTTTCTAACATAGTACACATTCCAACATCAGTGGAGAAGGGGGGTTGCAAGTGGAATTGCCATTATTCTTAGTCTTCCCCCTCCCCCCCGAGCCTTTACTGACTAGTAACTGACCTTTTGCATTCCACGCACTTAGGGAAAGGAGTACCATTAGTGCACAAAAGAATTAAATTATTTACAAAACAGTAGGTGCCAGGAGCATGGTTCTGGAACTGTGGGCTTTTATACTTTTTTGATCAGGATAAATGTTTAATTTTGTAAATTATTTGGTATGCTTGTAATTTTGTTTGATCTGAAGATGCATTTATATTTTTCAATATGCTAAATATTTTACCAAACAAAATTAGTTTTTAATAGTTTGTATTCTCGTGTATTGTAAAGACAATAAATGTTACTGTCACTGACAAAAGCAACACACCTGATTTGTGCAAGGTGTCATCAGGCACCTGTTCTTGTAAGGGCCTGGAGAGAGTGAACACAAGTGTAGGTGTCAGCCTGTGGGTAACACCTTCGTTTATTTTGTCTGTGGGACCCCTTCTCCTCTGGAGAGCAGTAAGGGTGTTGCTGTTCTGTTTAAAGGAAAGTCACTCTCCCGTTCCCCTGACTGCTGCCCTGACTGTGCTGCTGCCGCTCCCTGTAGAGCTCCTGCTGGTTTGATCTTCCCTGCTGGCAGCGCCGAGTCAGCCAGCTGCTGTTCTTGCTGGGTTTCTGCTGCAATGCGCAGGCCCACAGAATGAGACGTTATGTATAGATGCTTACACTGATTTTACCTATTCACTCTTGTCCATATCTATAGTATAATCCTCTTTTACAGGCTGGAAGGGAACATCTATGTCCATACAGAGTTGTTCTGTCCTTAAACAGTTTAAGGAATTGTTTGTGAACATGCAGTCTTTCTCTTTACTGCTCACTGTGAGATGAGCCCCAAGAGTTGGGCTATGCATATAGAGATATTAAAAGTAAGTCTTATTAAATTTAAATAAAGTATGACAAATGTTTTCCTTCTTATAGTCCCACAAAAGGTCCAAAATTATGTATTCTACTATTGCACTGATGTCTGTTTTAGCTTAAGTGCCTTAATGACTGAGAAATGAGTCCAACTTTTGCAGCTCTTCGGTTGCAGATGTCTGAGGTGTAGCTGTCATCTTCTGTTCTCTCTGCATCACTGCTCTCGTTTTCTTACTGACATTTGATGTTGTCACCACCTTCTTTTTCTCAGTTGAAGATTTTTGGGAGTGGTCTTGCCTGTCTTCAGGCTGGTAGTGGATATTAGTTAAGATTTCATTTGAATACGTCCTTGTAAATGGTCTTGCCTTTAGCTCTGTACCTATTCTGATGAATTGTAGAAGGTTGCTTTGAGCAGTCTGTTGTCCAAGATGTCCAGAAGAATACACTTTGAGTTCTCAGGAGCATTGTTGTAATGATGGATATTTGATGGATGCCTGAGATGCTTATACTGGAGATCTTACCCTGTTGTCTCGTGCAAGTTCATGAAGACAGTGTCTGAAGAACTAGTGGGTCTCAAATTGTGGCAGGTTTAAGTTGTCTGATTTACAGGTCATATAACAGAATGATAATGGCTGTTGCGTAGTGCAGTTTTGTATGGTTACTTTTTTTTTTTCCAAGTTGTGTGTCTCCTTCATTCTAGATGTGCTGCTGAATGTTCCAGATTCTGTGCTGGTGTCTTCTGTGCTTTTTAGAACTGTTGTGAGACAGCATGCTTTCAGCTTGTCCACAGACCTCAGTTATTGCTTACTAAAAACAAACAAACTAGTATATAAATAATTATTCAGCTTTTTCTTCCACTTGTATTAACTGTTGTTCTTTTAGCCTTAAGGAACCTACTTTGTAGTTTGCTGTGAGAGTGAGAAGCTGAGTGAGAAATTCATCTTAATACTCAAAAAGAGATGTTTTGTGGTTTTGATAAAAGTACTGAAGCAGGAGTTGAGAGTAGATTAAGCAAAGTAGACTACTTGAAACATTAGCAATTATGATCACTTCAGGCGGAGGCTAGAGCTCATGTTATTTGCTAGACAAAGTGTATGTTTGAGACAGAATGAATTTTTTCATTCCAGTAGGTAGGCCATTACGCTATTAATGTGAAGTCTTGGGTTGTTGTTTTGTTGGGTTTTTTTTTTCTCTTAATAAACGAGAAGAGAGAACTTTTCTGAAGCACCAGTTGCCAGATTTTTCTACATTTGGCTATAAGGGAAGTGAGTGTCTCCAAATCTAGTTTAAGCTGGTAACTCAGCCAAAAGAGAGAGGGGGAAGCTCCTTGAAGGGAGGCATGTTCACTACTTGGTGCTGCTGACCTCCAGACTTGCTGGTGGTTTAAGTCAACATGCTCTCTGGGAGGGATATGACTTGGGTAAAGATTTGATGAAAATAAATGCATAATGGAAGGTGTATGTGGATATGGTAAATTTTCTATATGGTAACAGATCTGCTCTTGCACACCAGCTACTATGAAGAGTACTTGGCCTTAGTATTATGTGCTTATGGGATGGTAAAGACCTGGGAGAAGTTCCTGCTTGTCCATAGGAAGCTGATGAAATGGAAAGTGCAAAACCACAGCACAGCAAAGCTGTTGGCGTGGGGATGTATAAACGAACTCAGGGCTCTACAAGGGAACGCTCCAGATCAAGAAAGGGAGTGAGTAATGCAGCTGAGGGACAGGCTTGGGTCAGACATGCAGGGCTCCTGCTAATTCCTGGGTTACACCACAAACCTCCGATTTCCTGGGCTAACAATGCACGAAGAGAGTTGAAGATCTGAAGGCAAAGATGTGTGAAGGGTTTGTTGGTTTCTGTTTGGATCAGATTAGTGATGTCTCGTGTTACTGTGTAAAGGCCAAGGGCAAGTTTGAGTCCCGCTGCACAGTTAGTGTGTGAGGAGGGATGGATGGCAGAGGGTATGTCCACGTGCACTTTGCAGTTCAGACTCCTTCTTTAGTTCATGCTGAGGAATCTGTGTAGAGCAGGACCTCTCCTTTGGGGTATTGCTGGCACTTGGCTAATAATAACAAATACCCATCTCCTTTGGAGAGAGAAACTGCTGCCAGCCCTTTCAACCCAGGAGAGCTCTGGCAGGGTGGGGGGAGCTGGCTGCTGGATCCAAAGGATCCAAACCCTGCTGTGGGTGAAGGAGGGAGCACAGCTGCTTAAACCCAGGGAATGCCGTGCTTCACATGCTTTTAAAGGTCTCCATTGCATTGTTTTGGTAGCAGAGAAGAAAAAGACTTCTTAAATTGTGAACCAGACTCTCAGAAGTGGTAAAAGCCAGTATCCCCTTCTTCCCGAGCCATTC